GGTCTGTCTGTGGAGCTGATGATGATGATGGTGGTCCTGTAGTCTGTGATGTGCTGCAGGCCTTGCCACATCCTTCTGGAGTCAGCAGTAGAATAGAAGCCATTCAGCTTCTCTCTGTACTGCCTCTTGGCCGCTGTGATGGCCTTCCTCAGTCTGTACTTTGCCTCTTTGTACTCCGTCTCATCGTCTGATCTGAATGCATGAGAGCGAGCATGCAGCATGCGGCGTACCTGACTGTTTATCCAGAGCTTCTGGTTGGGGAACCTCCTGACTTGTATGGTGGGCACAATGTTGTCAACACAAGTGCTGATGTAACCAGTCACATACTCAGCATAGTCTTGTGCGCTGACAGAAAAGTCCTCCGAGGTGACTGCAGCTTTAAACACATCCCAGTCTGTCTGAGCAAAATAGTCCTGCAGGATGCCTTCAGTCTCTGGGGTCCAGAGTTTAATTTGCTTGGTGACAGGATTTGTTTGTTTCAGTCTTTGTCTGTAAGCTGGATACATGAACAAAGAAATGTGGTCCGAACATCCGAAGTGTTCTTGTCCTGGGTGGGAATGTCCACATGTTGGTAATATTTGGGGAATACAGTCCATAGATTGCACTGATTAAAGTCGCCTGTGGTGATAAATACAGCATTGGGGTGAGCCGCCTCTAGCGCGCTGATGACATAAAGGAGTTTGCTGAGAGCCGCTGTAGAAACTAGCTCTTGGAGCTATGTATATTCCAGTCAAAAACACACAGCTAAATTCTCTTGGTAGATAATAGAGACGGCATTTCAGCAATAAAAACTCCACATCTGGCGAACAGTGCTTATAAACTGGGGGTGATGGTAGTTGCCACGGGAGCGTCCAATTAGTCATAGCTCTGGTGGAATAAAACCGGCGAATTCCAGAGGGCTGTGATTAGCGATGTCCAGCAATGCCTGTCTGTTGTATGTTAGCAGTGCATGACAATTGTGCACTGCACAAAAAGCGAAAAACACACAAAAAAGAAAAAAAAAAGCTGGCATTCAACAGTGGAACGAGCAAACACGTCGACCTCGATGGGCACCATGCTGATATCTGTGATAGCTTGGTAGCCTACTTGGTAGCCTAGTCTTGACATGCAGCCAAATAAATGAAGGGCCTAAGCTCAGCTCACCTTACTGTTGAACTGACCTATAAAAAAAATCAACAGTTGGCCTACCAAGCCACTGATATGTCTGAACCTGCCAGCAGTGACCTTTTGCTGACTTGTATGCACATAGTGGCAGATACAGCAGCTCCTCTTATGTGTTTCTAGTAGCACGTCTAAGGAGTGTGCACACTGAGCCCAACGCAGGAGCTCTGGAATAAAACCGAATGATCAATTTTTAAGTCAGTTTTAAAAACTCAACTTTTTGCACCTGATGTTTAAATGCTTTTCATTTCTCCATAGAGACAATGTTGTGTTATTTTATTTTATTTTGTATAGCTCATTTTAAATGTTCTTATGTTGGTAATTTTTACTGTCCAGCACTTTGTGCTCAGACGAGTCGTAAAGTGCTTTATAAATAAAGGTTATTATTATTATTATTATTATTAACACTGATGTCCCAATTTGCCAGGAGTGTGCATCCCTGGGCGGGCTTTGACCAGTAACTGGCAAGTACAAACAAGCCTTCTTACCAGTCAAAACAAGCAAATCATTATCTTAATTAAAGTGTTAAAGTTTTGTGACTCCAATTGTTCAGAATTTTAGGCTGCACATTTTCATGCACACTAGGTTGGGGTCTGTGAAGAAACATGCCCTGTCACAGAGCTGAGGTGCAACACTACTCCAACTGGTTCATTTTTGATTACAGGCCTTCTTGATTTCTGTTGAGCATGATTTCTCAGTGAGAGCAGCTTCATTTGTAAGTTACTCTCCCCCAGCACTCTGACTTTAGTTCTCTGTTCAGACAGACTATAAAACTCCCTGATGTCACAATAATTGTTTCCATGAAAACCACTGTCATAAATTGAAATGCACAAAATTACATCAAATGCACTGGAGTGCATGGTGACATAGAAAACTACTTAGAGTTTCACTTTAAATGTAGCTTTTCTACACAAATCAGTCAAATTTTTTAATGGAATACAATTGAGTAACAGAAACTGCATATTTTGTACAGTGACAT